TTTAATGATGTTAAGTTAAATACTCAAAATTAATCATATAATAGGAGAATGATAGTATAATATTTCTATCTCTAAAGGACAAAAATATTATTTCTTTGAAATTTTAAATATGAATGATTGATAGTGTAATACTTACATCTTCTAGGAGAGGAAAGTGTAATTTACATTAACATTAAGTTAAATGAATTAAATTGTATATTTTAACATAAAAAAAAGACAATGTAATATTTTTTCCTCAAGAGAAAGTAGCGTAATTTAATTAGTGACTAATGTTCTGTTTATTATTATATTTGCTCATTTAAGTGGATAATATCCTACTAAGTACTTGATTTTAAGTAAATCTATACATCTAATCATTGTAAGTACATATGTTTTGTTGACAGTACATATGCGTATGATATATGACTGTCATTTTTTTGTAATATATTTGTTATATATATATATGAATGAAAAATATGCGTATGGTAATCCAGCAAATAAAAGATTATCACTAACACTACGCATAACATTTTCAATCTTCTGCTAACAATATTAGGCATTTGCCGGCAAGGAAAAAAGGTCAACAAAATTGTGAGTATATATTAAGAATAATAGAATGTTATAAATAAAACAAAAAATAAATTCCTTACCTTGGAAAAAAATAATTTTTGTAGATAATAGTGTCTGCCAGTTTGAGTATAATTTGCAATAAGATACTTGATGGCCACCACCATTTGCGTAAGCTAGTTAGAAAATTGTAGAACATTGAAATGATGAAGCCTCAAGTAAAATAGATTAGCATGATCTGTCTTTGTATATGTAATCAGAGTTAGGATCCATCAACACGGTGCAGCAGCTGAATGATGTAGTGACAATGAAATCAAATGCAGATAATAAACCTCGGAACTTCTATATTCAAGTGGGAAAGAACATTTATATTTGTGTGAAACAGGCATGCTGGTATTCTAAAGAAACAACTTCAGACAGAAATATTTTTTATTATATAAAAATAAATCAGAGAAATACAGAAACACTATTAATTTGGAAGTTAAACATTCAAAATAGAATAACACTACAATTATACCCTAGTTGAAATGAAAGAATAGTTTTCCAAGTCTAGTCAATTGAAATCCTTAAGTCGCTTTTTGAGCATGTCCATTGATTTCTTTTTAGCAGTTTGCTTTGTATTTTTATTCGAAAGACTTCCAAAGATCCCATCTGCAGAATCCTTGAATTTATCACAAATGCTGCCTACCTTCTTATAATCCAACGCATAGTAATTTTTCTCTCTTATAACAGGATTCATGAAGTTCTCAGGCTGACTACTTGACAGAAGATTAATTAATTGTCGTGCTTCTATCAAACAGCTCTTAAAACTACCTTCCCTGTAAATTTCACCCAAGCCAGAAGTATAGAACCTCTCATGTGCAAAGTCCTCTAGCATCTTAAGGTCATTGTTTATATTCATAACTGCATTTGCATTAAACCTTTTGACAATATCACTAAGGAAAGCACCCACAATTATATTGGAAATATGCTCAAGTGCACCAGTTCCAACCTTGTACATAGCATCTAAGGGTAAAATTTGTTGGGCTGTGGACATAAGTGAATCAAGGTAAAAGATCACTTCATTTATGTACTCATTTCCATTTGGCTTTGGCTCCTCTGAAGTCCAGTTGATAATTTCTATAAGATTCATATATTCATCTAATTTTTTGTTTACCAAACTGAGCAAAGTAATATAAGCTGCATCCCTCGAAGTCTTCAGTAACACCTTTGCAGTTAAAGTAGCTTGGGGCTTCTCAACTGTTCGAACTGGGACACAGCTCAGTTGAGCTGCATGTCTAAGGAAATAATCACAAGCTCTTTCAAGAACAGCTATGTTTGCAGCAAGCTGCATGGCTTGAGACACACTAATATTTCCACTATTTATTGTATCAAGTAAAGTTTCATTTAATACTTCAATCAGGTACTTGTCCAAATACTTTCTCACAACATCAAAGAAACCAGTACGTACACCGTAAGACAAGTAATCAACAGAGCTTTTAATGAAGGATCTCACAATGCGACAAGCATCAGGCACCATGGAGGAGAATGGTGCAACATATGGAAAAGCAGGCATAATATCAGATGTTTGAATATTAAATGACAGAACATGATTCTCATAGTCAGTATCCTTTTTTATCACCATCTGCTCATATGAGTCGTTGCCAAGAACATCTTGAGTTTGGCTCCGACATTCTTCTAAAAGAAGTCTATGGTATTTGTCACAGCTATTATCAAGCACATCAAGAAGTTGACCAATGTCATATCCATATTGTCTAAGAGTAGACCCAAGAAGAGTAACATAATCCTTAACTAGGAGAAGATGGGTGGCAGAGTTCATATGGGAGAATTGCACGTCCAACATTGATGTTATTTTTGCCAAAGCAGTTTCCCACATAGTTTCGACCTTGTCAGGTACTAGTAGCCCACCACCAGTCCTCAGGACCTTATCCTCCACTATGAAGTACCCAACAATTTGAGCCAAAAATGTCTGATATGATTCAACGAAAGGTTGCGCCGAAGATATTTCCAAATCTGAATTCAATTGTAACAATCTATTCTTATAGTAATATTCATGAAACTGCTCTCGGATCCCCAGGCAACCATGAATATGACAAGCACGGTAAAGAGGCGTGAGATCGAACTTCATAGCAGAATCTTCATCTTCTTCAACCACCAAACAATAAGCTTGATCATCAACTCCAGAAATATTTAATTCCTCGGCCTTTCGCTTCCTTTCCAGCATTTCCTCATCCCTCTGACGAACTGATGCAGCCCGGCCAATTGCCGTTTGCCCAATTATTTTACAAGAACTTCGAATTTGGACCATCCATTCATTAACTTGACTACATACTTTCTTCTCAATGTGAGTTTTTATGGAAGGGATTTTTTTCTCTATCACCCTTTTGAGAGCCCTGGCAGGAATATTCTGCATGTAATTCTTCTCCAGCAAATCAATAGTTTTCAGAGCAGGATAAAACTGGCTTTCAGAAATGTGATCGTTGCACTTGACACAAAGCTCCAACACCTTCATACAGTTCTTTGACATTTTTACAGCTTCTGTCACATTCTTCTTGACTGTATAAGATTCTAGAAGCTCCTCAAGCTTGACAAGAATGATGCTGCCAACCTGCTGCAGCTTAAAATTATCACTTTGGAGTTCACTCTTGAGCTCTTCAGCATCAACTAACACACCACGAAGTTCATCAACCGCAAGGATGAATTCCTCATAGTGAGTCTTGCACATCTCCTCAATTTCAGCTTCCTTTTTCCTCACCACATAATTCAGCTGCCGTAGGAGCCCTTCGGGGCGCCCCATTTCAAAGGCATGCCTGACAAGAGGACTAATATCATCTCCATTGGCAACCAGAGTTTGTAGAACTAGGTCTTCTCCTTCATCAACACCATTCTCTACATCAGCTCTCCTTTTTGTTTTGACATCCATTGTCACTTGAATCTCTAGAATCTAAAAACATTTTGCTTGTTAGAAACCAAATGCCAACCCAAGATTAACACAAACTAGTTAGATTACAGCAATTCTTGTATGAACACTATGAATATAGACACAACCGGTTAATTTATATTAAAACAATAATAAAAGAAAAAGCCAAAGGATGTAAAATCCCTCCCTCTACTATTCTATATATAAAAATCCAAAATTTACTGTAGAGGGTGTTGGGAAATGAGAATTCATAGAGACCATGGAACGGCCGGTTCCAAATTCCGAAACGGGCCGTTCTGGATATGGAACAGGGCGTTCTAAAGTCCAAAACGGGCCGTTCTGGAAATGGAACAGGGCGTTCCAAAGTCCAAAACGGGCCGTTCTGGAACCAGAACGGGCCGTTTCGCAGCTTCAGCCCTGGGTACCGCGCCGGGCTCGATTGCACCCAAAACAACACCCCAAAAATCCCAAAAAGAAGAGGAAAAGCAAGAAAAGGTTGAGTGTGAACCTACTGGAGGTGGAGTGCGTGGAGGAAGACAGAAAGCCGCGTGGCAGGAGGGTTGGGAAAAACGGAGGTTGAAGGAGATGAGTAGGAGTTGAGAGAGAGTTGAGAAAACTGAGTGAAATGAGAAACGTGGGTGAGGAAGTTGAGTTAAGGCATTCGCGCGGTCGCGCCGGGCGTGAAATTACCCACGCCGGGCGCCATATCAGTAAAAATCAAAGGTTGGCCCTTTCTGGTGTGATGCCGGGCGTGGCAGATGGTAAGCCCGGCGCAATTAATGCTCCAACCTTCCAGTGGTCAATGCGCTATGCGCGCCGGGCTTGGCTAACCCCTGGAGCACCTAACCATTAATGCGCCCGGCACGCCAATAAATGTGCCGGGCGTGGTCGTTCCAGTGCTACAATGAAGTTTAGGCCGG